CTGCGGTGAGTGTTAATTAAGACCACTAATTGGAGGGTCAGTTGGACACATTTCAAAAAAGCTGGGAAATAATTCAAAGAACAACACTGAGTTATTTTTTGACTCACCATAAAGAGAATCAAGTATCAAAGCACACAGGATCCATCTGTGGAATTCATGCTTTTGAATAAGCAGCAGCATTTACTTTATGATGGCTTTTCACCTTTTTATTGAAGCCAGATCTGTCTCTCACCACATTTAGGCATCACAGGGATGGGTGCTGTTGGACAGGTGTCACTTGCAGGTTGGCCTCTCCTTGCTGTGCTATCACTTGGCCTGTCACTCTGGCGGCTTCCATATTGGCTGTCCTGAGGAGCCCTGCCAGCAAGGCTTATTTGACAAGTAGTTATCTTCTTCATGGTGACCAGCCACTTGCTTAGAATGAAGCCTACTTGGAAATGACTCTGAACTATTATGGGACCTTAGCTGTGCCATTTATTTGCTAAGCCTCAGTTTCTCTGTCTGTAAAATGCATGTGTGCATTTCTCAGTAGCCCTAGCCTGGGCATCACCATCTGAAGGGAATATGCTCTCTAGCAGGTAACTAAGATAATGCACAGTCCCAGTGACCTTCAGCCACTGTGATGCACAGTATCTGAGATCTTCTGGAAGCACAAAGTGGGACTATAAATCGCTCTCAATGCTAACCTCTGAAATCCTAGCTTGGCTGATCAGGCTATGAGACTGTAAGCAAGGTATGTATCTTTGTGTACATGGTTTCCTCACCTCTAAAATAGGGATCTCAATAATACAACCTACCTCAAAACGGGGATTTAGGGATGAAGTGAGATAATTTAAGCCAAGTGTTTGCCAGTCTAGGCCCCACTACGTGCATAAGCCGTTGTCAAGACACAAGCATTTTTGCACTGATGTTTGTTCAAGTTGCCCTTATTGGGTGTCTTTGCTGCATGAGGCACAGATGGAGCCTGTCATCGAGTAGCTCCTGTGAATGTCAGAAACAGATGCCCAAAGGGCTGGGGGTGTAGTTCACTGGTAAAGTGCTAGCCTAGCATGCACGAGGCCCTGGGACTGATCTCCAGCACCAGGAGAAAAGAAAAAAGAGAAAGAAAAGAGAGAAACAGACACCCATGCCTGGTCATCTGGATGACTGATCAAGGGCTCCTATGCCTCCAAGACAGACCAGATTTAGCAGGGGTTTAACTTGGAAACAAGGACAATCTGACAGAAAAACTTCCAACAACCTCATTCCCTTGACGTTGACCTCAGTTCGTATGTAATTTTGTATGTAATGCAGTACTTTCTGTGCTGTGTCGGGGACAGCTGGCTGTCTGGGAAGAACACACATGCTCCCCTGTCATAGAACAGAATGCTGCTTCTAGAACGTGGTTCCCAACAAGGGAGCCCCCATTTCCAGCCCACACATCAGCTCCCCATGCATCTAAAGAGGAGCCACATATATGAATTCTGGCCCAAGAATGTGGGAAGAGTGTGCACTGCTTCTGGGGCCTTCATAAACACGCCCACCCGACCCCCTACACGTTTCCTCTTCCCTTCTGCCAGCCAGACATCTATACCCATGTGAGGAACAGAAGACTCTGCCTGCCTGGTCTCTGAATGGACAGTTGGAGAAGCAGCGCTGGTCTCCAGCCAGGCTCCCAGATGGATAGCCCATGGATGGGAAATATGCCTCTCATGTTAATCCCCTCTGATTTGGGATTCATCCACCCTAGGGGGAAAGAACTAGAGATTTCCTTTCTAGGAATAAGTGGATATGTTTGGAGAAAAATAAAACTTATTTTATAGCAGACTCTTAAAGTGGATACCAGGAAATGATGCAAAGGCCATTGGAAAATGGATATTGAGAGAACATTTTGAAGTGGAAGGCACAGTCTGCAGAAGAAGCTACACTAACTGAAACGAAATTGAATCCAGGAGAGGAAACAATTGAGCTGACCAGAGGGAGTCATCTCCACTCCTTGCCCCTTCTGTACTGGAAGAAGTCTAAAGTCTGATCAGTAAGGAAGCCTTAACATTCATCATTATTATCTCATTAATTAAAATCTTTGTGCAGGCTTTTCATTTTGGCATTTTTTTTCTTTCTTTTTTTTTTTTTTTTTGGTGAGTTTTTGCTTGCAAATCACTTTTTAATTTTGGTGATCAAGCCATAGGAAGTGAAAACCCTTTGGACACTAAACAATCTATGTGCAACTAAAAAGTAGAAAAGTCAACTTTAAAATAGCGGTAAATATTCAATAATCCCCAACAGGCAGGGGGAAATTTTGTGCTTCATATATCTGTAGAAAAGAAAATTAAAATATAAGCACTATCAATCCTCATGACTGGTGAATTCTATATTTGCAAATTCATACTCTTTGCTATGATTCCTTGGTAACTACAAAATCAGTACTTGTAGTTTTGAGGCAGTTTTGTGGTCTTTCTTGAAAAGGAGCAGAGGAGAGAAAATTTGAGTCACCAGATGCACATGGTCCCAGCTGAGGTCAAACAAAATCCATACCTGTCACACTGGTTCCTCTCACAGGTGTCCGTTTTTGCATCGATTTAGTGCCAGATTTTTCACATTTTTGTGCTTTTTGTTTAAAACAACAGCACTCACACATAGTGCTTAAGTGCTATCTTGGTTTCCTGAGCTCAGGAAAGCTGTGAGAGGCCTTATGTATTCCACAGCTTTGTTCAGGTCTGAGTTCTAGTGCTGCTGGTTGCAAGTTCAATGTCAATGAATCAGCTACACGTATTAAATGAGGTGTCTTTAAACAGAGGCATACATAAAACAAGGTTATGAAAATTTGCTACAGCAAGCTCAAAGGAACCTAATCCTGTGACTTACCCTGGTTCAGTGTTTGCTAATCCAAGGTACATTCTTGGGTACACCTAAGAATCTCAGTGAATTTTAGAATTTCATGAGCAACTATTAAGCATCAAACATCGTGCTGAACTCTTGTGCCAGCATTATGTGTCTGCAATTTAGGTGGAAAGAAAACCGTATCCAGTCTGACAATAGACTGCTATTCATAAAGTCCCTATTTTTAGAAAATTTGGCCCAATTAGTCACTATTTCAGTAAATAGCAGCTACTCCAAGGCCACAAACGCTTTCCTGTCAAAGTTGCAATTCATGCCAAGGGAACTGAATGCACTTCATGAGATTTAGTAGCTGACTTCTGGAAACCGCAAAGGTCATTTCCTATAGAAGACACCACCCAAAAGGCCTCCTGACCTTCCACGTCACGTGGCCACAGAATGGACACAGCCCACAGCCCACACCCAAGCCATGCTTGGCCAGATTCCAGACCAGAGGCAGAGGGTCAGGCCCATGGGTAGAAACACTGGAAAAGCCCCCGTTTCCAGGGTCTTCCACTGATTCTCGATTGTACAAAACATCTTTGCCTTCTCAGACACCCAGTGATGCTGCTGCAGTTCAGCCAGTTTCCTATTCTTATTCTTGGTTGTTTTATATTTAACACAAAGTAATAATCCAGGAGGTCAAAGCCTGAGCAGCTTTCTCTAGTTTCTAGGGACTCTCTAGACAAAATCTAGACTCATTCTAGATCTTGAACATATGAAAGGTAGCTTGAGCATCCCTGATCTGAAAATCCAAAATCCCAAATGCTCCAAAACCAGAAGCTTTTTGAGCCTCGACATGATGCCACCGGTGGAAAATTCTACACCTGACCTCATGCAACAGGTCTTGGTAAAAACATGGGTACACTAAAAATATTGTGTAAAATACCTTGAAGGTACGTTTATAAGGAGAAGATGAAACATAGATAAATTTCCTGTTTAGACTTGGATTCTGTCCTCAAAATATCTCCTTAAATGCATACGCAAATATTTTAAAATCTGGAAAAAACTCAAAATCAGGAGACTTCTGGTTCTACATATTTTGGATAAGGTATACTCAATCTGTATTTAACTCAGAGTTGCTTCCACAGTTTCTTTTAAATTCTAGGTGTATTATCAATATACCCTGTTTTGGCTTGCATTTTATACTGCTCCTAAGAGAAGTTAATTATTTAATAGAAATCATATTAAACTTATTGTCATTTTTTTTAACTTCAGTGAAAAGTAACACACATATTGAGAGCAAATAAAACTGCCTAGCTGTGAACTCTGATCCACTTTGAAAGGATCCAGGCAGCTATATGTTCTGGAATATTCCATAATACTGCCAAGATGGAGACACTTCCAATCCTGAACTATTTTGTATTCATACAAAACTGACACATCTTCATAAGCTATTATCTTTGAAGATTCCATTTTCCTATCAAAGGAGGAATTTACTAGGACTACTTGTTCTACTGCATAGAAAATTCTTATGTTTCCAAATACAGGAAGAAGCACATCAAGAATTACAGGTAGAATTGAGCCAGTAAGTGACAGCTTTCAGAGAATGACATCTTCATCCATTAAGGCAATTATTGTTGAACACGAATATGAACATGTAACTCGAGGAGATGGATATATTTTAAGAAGCTCAGACTCCTAGGACAATTTGAAAGCAGCAATTTCCAAGCCTTTCACTCTAGAAAAATTATTGAATAATCCAGGAAACACTGAAGCACCACATGATTCTTTAATAAGTTATTTTCAAAAAGTTATCATGGTCCTTTATTTTTTAACAGGCTACCTTTTGAATTGACTATTCTTGAGTCATTTGGTAGCTCTGTGGATCATATCACAGAACTGTTGAATTTTGGAGCCAGGTATGACATAGCAAGGAGTCATCTAAACAAGGTCCTAAGTAACCAAAAGGAAGAAGCATGAAGGACCCCTGTGGGGGCAGGAGGCGCTTCTGCATGTCATTCTACTCCGCCATACACTGAAGAACTACGCCCCATAATCTAGTGTCAACTATTATTTAAAATAATCATCAATGCTGGGCATTATCTCACTGTCAGATTTCGGTGACCACAGGGCCAGTGGGGACAGAGAGGAAGTTGGGCCTGGGTGGGGCTGAAGCTAAAGGAATCAGGCTATTCTGAGAATAGAAGCTGAGGGAGGCAGAAACCATGGGTCCCAACGATGTCCCAGGCCTAATCCCAGAAACCTGTGAGTATGTGAGTATGTGAGGTGATGTGGCAATCAGGACTTTGTACACGTGGAGATGGGGAGATTAGCCTGGACCCTCCGGGTGGGCCCAGTGTAACCCAAAGGTGTTTACAGGAGCCAAGAAGGAGATGTGGTGACGGAAGCAGAGCAGCAGGGCAGGGGAGAGAGAAACTTGAAGATGTTTTGCTGCTGGCTTTGAAGAGGGAGGACAAGGCCAGGAACCCAGGAAAGCAGGCGGCCCCCAGGAGGCAGGACAGGCAGGGATCTCCCCAGAGCCGCCAGGAGGAACACAGCCTTGAGGACACCTAGACATAAACATCTCCATAACATAATGAATGTGTGCTGTTTTCAGCCACTAATTGTGTGGTGATCTGGTACAATGAAGTAATATGCAGGCCAACACTTTGTAGGCCACTGCCGTAGGGGTGAGATGGTGAGATGGGGTAGGGTCAGGCTGTGGTCAGCACTACAGGGTTCAGTGCACTAAGCTGGGGAGCCCATCCAGCTAGAAAGAGAACCTTGGCCAGTGACTAGAGGAGGCAGGCTAGAGGAGTTCAGGGCCCTAGTCCCAACAAGGACACCATAGCACCAATCATACTGTGCTGAATGCTAAGCCCTGGAACTTGGGTGAGCTGACTGGAGGTCCCAAGATCAGCTAAGGGACCTCAGGCATGCAGGCACCCAAGAAATTACCCCCAGGCATGCCTTAGGGCAAGAAAGCACATTCCAGGTCCTATTCAACAGAGTGGGAAGAGTGGGTAGTATCTTGCCTGAGGGACTGGGGTTGTGGCTCAGCAGTTGAGCTCTCACCTAGGACATGGGAGGTGCTGGGTCCTATCCTCAGCACCACATAAAAACAAAGAAATCAAATAAAGGTATTATGTCCAACTACAACTAAAAAAATATTTCTTTGAAAAAAAAAATCTTGCCTGATTAATCAGGGAAGTCCCCCAAAAGAAACCCAGGATCTGGTCAGACAGACTGAGGATGATGAGGCCTGAAATAGTAGTACCTGGGGTTACTATGCAATAATGAGATAACAAAATACTAAAGATAATACTACTTTTTTAATCATATAGAGTTGTAAAACATCTGCCTATGCGTTATATAAACTCAGAAGTAATAATATCAATAATCTTGACTTCATGAAAATAAAAGATAAAAACTTGGTTGTGGCCAAAAACAATTTAAAAAGTAAAGAGAAACTGGAAAAATGTTGGTAAAACATTTAACTGACCCAAGAGTAATTTTTATATTAACCAAAGTGGTCTTATAAATCAATAAGAAAAGCACAAATAATTTAAATAGAAAAGTGGGCAAAAACATAAGCAAGCAATTTCCAGAAAAATAAATTCACTGATTGTCTCAACACACATGGATTGAACATTATCTCTGAGCTAGACTGAGCATCTTCTACTGCTGAAGTTACTAGAAATGAGCAGTAGCAAGACAGGCCAGGAGCCTGCTGTAAGGAGCAGCAATGGTAAATTTTAAGTGTCAAACTGGCTAGACCAGGCATCCAGTTCTTTGGTCAAAAACCAATGTAGATATTGCTGTAAGGCTGAAAATTGGGAACCCTCCCTACTCTACCAAGTTCAAACTCAGCAGCAACATAAACTCTTGCCTAACTTGAGGTTGCTGACTTGTCTTACAGGTCTGAAACTTTAAGCTGATTTTCTCAAGTATTTTGTCACAGTGTGTGAACTTTCTGATCAAATGTTAAACTCCCAAGTCAAAATGAACCACAGGAATAAACTTACCAACTGCAAACGTCGGTTTGTTTTCCGCTTAGTAATAAACTGAATACGAGGACATTTTAAATTGTAAATTACAACCTTGGTTCAAACCCATTCTTAATATCTACTCTTTTGTGAAAAAAAAAAAAAACAAAAAACTTCCTTTATATGTGCTTTTAGCTCTGTTCAAACATACTTTTAATTTGGGGTGAGCGGTGACAGAGAGGCACAAACTCCTCACAAAACAATGTCAAACCAACACAAGGAGAAATAGGTTATTAGAGCAATACTTTGTTTGGTGAATGAGAATACTTAACCAATTAATAGAGATTAAGCTTAGTCTGAAAGAGGTGGTGGTGGGTGGGAGGAGAGAATTAGAGCTGGTTGCTGGGAAACCTTTAAGTCAACAAATACAGTCACCCCCTGGGTGACAATAATGGTCATAATCTCTCTTAGTTTACTCTGCATTGCACAAGGCAGGCGCAGGAGGCTGTGGGATGCAATCTGCTTCTTCTATGCCGCTGAAAGGCAATTTAAAGCTTCCTTTCTCTGAAGCATAAACAGCCTCTGAAACTCTGAAAAAACAGGGCTCATTACCAAAACACCGAGGGTGAGCTCGAGCTATAAAGGTTTTAGAATTTAAAGGAACTTTATGCTCCTGAAGGATCAGTACAGCCATGCCACCTCCTTCATAGGAATAAAGACTTGAGAGGAGTTCTGTCCTCCCAAGGCAGGAAAAAGCTTGTGAAATTCAGCCTTCAAATTTCATTGAGCTGTTAGTAATTTCTGTAATCTCTTCTTTATGCATCTTCCTTTATAAGCTAACTAGAGATTAGTAACTACTACTGGGTTTGTATTTATTCTTATTTCAATCAGTAATTTTTGTTTTTACTTTTTTTTAGGATAAAAGCAGAACTGCATTCTGGATGTTCTTCTAGGAAAGCCACTGACACCAGGTGGAGCTTTGCCCCTTGAGCCACTCGGGCATAATCATAAGCACCCGTTCTGGTGGACAAGAAGGAGTTCAGACCAGGAACAAATGAGCCCCTTAAAAGCCACTCTTGAAAATGCAGTGACATGTGTCACAGTGAAATGTCCTGCTCTTGCGAAACAAAATGGGATCAGAAAATACTCTGTAGGCAGAGCCTGAATAAAATTGGTATTTCATTTACCTCCATGCCCAACTCTCATGTCCATTTCCTATGAGCAGGGATTATTTATAAGAATCAGTTTTCAACTGTAAGGTTCTTACAGATCTGGCAAGAGATATGGCTTTACAATGAAGCCATAAAGTCCTGTGGATGAACATAAATGGGGCCTCATTAACTTTTTTAAAAATATGGCAAATAAAGAAAAAAATTCAAATGGTATAAAATGGTATACCATAAAAAATCATTTTTCCTGCTCTTTCCTCTAATTTATAAGAATCAGTTTTCAACTGATTTTAACACTTAGATCGAATATAGGTCTAACCTGCAAATGCATGTCTCTATTCAGTTGTAAGTCTTTTGATCATAGAAACCAAAATACACATGGGCTTATGAGTTGAGAAGTTCCCAAGATGTTTTGAGGGAAGATCAGGAGGTCTATTGACAAGAAGGCACAATTGTTTTGAGCCACATAGTGGGAGAGAGAATTCCTGAAATTGCAACTCTTCACGGCTATTAACTTCTAGCATTTTCTCATTTGTATTCAGCTCCAGAATTGAGAGAAATGGCCTCTGGGTTTGGCTCTCTGACTTGCACTGTGGAAAATGATGTCTCCCATCCTATCACCGCGTGACATCCTTTGGTTTGGGAACTCTCAGCAGCACATGCACATATGCTCTTTGGTTTCATCTGGTGATCGGTTTTTCATGAGATGATATAACTTAGTTAGGATTTAGGAGCCATCCGTGACCATCCATCAACAATTACATCACATTACAACAATATCAGGAGCTCAGGAACTCACCAAGAGTCCACGATCATATATTAAAGTAACAGTAGGAATTAAATAGCATTTTTAATCTTACTATGAATGTAAAACTCAGTAGAGAGAGGGGGGTGGGGAGAGAGAGAAAGAGAAAGGAGAGAGAGAGAAAGAGAAGTAAACATTTCTGGCACATGAATTTTGGAGCACAACACAGTAGGCATTGTGTTAAAAGACAATTTGTCAAAACATACTGTGTCATTTTTTTTCTGAGCACAGAATCAATAAATCCAAGAGAATGGCTTATCTTCAATCAACATAAATTGCTCAGTGAGATAATTAAAGACCCAAGTCATTAAGGGCTCAGTACGAAGGCTGATATTAAAAATGAATCTGTTCTGAAAATGAGCCACATCGGGTCTCTTCCTAGTTAGAGTATGATATTACACATCAACGAAACCACCTGCCTCCCTCAATCGCAATCTCTATAGAGGAGGATTTAGGTTCTGATTATGCCAGTAAAATGAATTTTTTTTTGTCACAGTGATAATTGATTCTCACAACTGTAAGAATTATTGGTGGTAGCAAAATAATTACTATTGGAGGTTGGTGGTGACAGCTCCAGTCACCACCAACTAGAGAGAACCAAAGGTTCTTACAGATCTGCCAAGAGATATGGCTTTACAATGAAGCCATAAAGTCCTGTGGATGAACATAAATGGGGCCTCATTAACTTTTTTAAAAATATGGCAAATAAAGAAAAAATTCAAATGGTATAAAATGGTATACCGTAAAAAATCATTTTTCCTGCTCTTTCCTCTAAGAATCAACCCCTAGCAGTTTTCTGTATATTCCTCCACGCACTTCTGCACATAGAATCATAGGTGTCCACATGCAACACTGCTTAAAGACATAAATAAAAGTATACACTACAATGTCAAGCTGCTGCTTATTCCTTCACATCTTATCTTTGCAATTATGCTGTATCAGCACATGCAAAGTAACCTCCTTCAGATATACAGTTAGTAAGTACTTATATGATACAAATGAGATCACTTCAAATGTACAAACAATCTTAACTTCCAGATAGGCTAATGAGCATCAAAGAATCTTGGAAACTAATTGTGCCCATGGAACTCCTTCTGGCTATTGCCACTGGGACTCAAATCCAGAAAACTCAAATTCTTTACGTGCACAGCAAAATGCATCAGCTCCCTGGCCATAAACAGACGGGGAGCTGTAGTTGGGAGATGATGGAAGAAAATAAGATGCACTTGAAGCTAAGAAGCAGGTAAGGCAGAGTCCCACCTAATCCTCCTAATCTCCAGCAAAACTACTGAGAGTCCAAATTCCTCATTACTGTCCACTCATCTGTTCCCAAAGCAAGAGTCAATTTTCCTCGGAGCCCTCGCCTATCCTTATTCTTCCATGACTTGGTTTCCGCTCAAAAATGCCATCCACTCTCTCCATCAAGCCCAGATGATTGAGAACAGGGAAGACAGTAAATCATCACCGAGAAGGCCCGGGTGGATTTTCTGAATAAAAATATGCATAATTCAGGAGTCTGAAGAACTATTCCTGGAAACAGATGATGAAGAACTCAGGCTCTTTCCAAGGGTCCGGCTCAATTCACTATCAGTTAACAAGCTGTACATCCCGGGAAAGCAGATATTTGATTAAACTTAGTAGGCAAGAAAGGCACCTATTGTTGGGTCCTGGTGGCTCCTCCAGATGTTAGAGGGAGTCACTCAGCACTGAATCCTGTATCAGATGCTAAAATGCAGGCACACTTGGTGTCCCCAGAGAGTTCTACCATGTAAAGGTCACAGTTCTGGTACAGTGGAGTTGGTAGTGACTAATGCTGCATACCTCTTGGGAGACAAGGCTTAATCCCCAGGGGCCCTCCAGAAACACATTAACTTGCTACTGTCCTGCCTCAGCCTCTAGATTAGCTGGGATTGCAGGCACATGCCACCATGCCCTGCTCTTCTCACCCCTCCAGTAACCATTTATTCAGAGCCCCTAGTGACTAAGCAAATGAGAAAGTGTTTGGGGGCAACCAAAAAACATGGTATTTTCACTCATAACAGATGCATAAGTACACTTTAAAAGTGATGAGGTTAATTGCATACAGATGTGATCTTTAATATCTCTGACACACAAAAAATTAAGCTATAAGACAGACCAAAGACTAAGGATAGGGAATTTATTTTATTTTGCCTTTGAAGGAGTAATGCATATGCACATTGCAGAGCCTGTTGGCCACTTTGGGCTAAGTAGGGCAAATCAGAGAGGCCCATGTGCAGGGACTTGGTGGCAGCTCTATATATTTTCTAACATTTCAATGTTTTAAGGACCCAGCAGTCTCCCTGGAAGTGTCAGGTTTACCTGATGATAGAGGTGTTGGGTAGACCCATAACATATGATGGCATCTCTGTACAGTCAGATATGATAGGAAAAGAAAAAGAAAACTATTGTTGGATCAGACATTAGAGAACAGAGTGTCTGAGAAGGCTTCCCACCCAGGATATTTTCTACTGATTTATGCCAAGTTCTTTGGAACTTTTATATCAAGAGCCCTTGGTAAGGATCACCAGAGGAGGTAGCTAATTGTTAAGACGTTCTTAGGTAGAGTAGAAAATTATTGATTTATGGGTCTAAATACTAAAAAACATGCAAATGAGATGGTTCTAAAATAATTTTCAAAAAATTGTTTATTTAAAAAAATATGAATTGAACAAATTACTATAGCCACGGTATGCAAAAACGATATAATTGGTCAGGTTCTTGTGTAAATATCATACATTCTGATTTGTGATTCTTATAATGAAAAGAAGAAACTATAAGAAAATGTTCAGAAGATGTTCAGGATTGAGCCAGATTTTTTTTTCAATTGTTGCACTAATTTATCTATTTATTAGACCTCCTAGTGACTAAGCTAAGCTAAGATCTCTAAACTCTGGAAATACAGTTCATCTGGAATAGGTCATCTTGTATTGTATACAGCAGGTAAACATGTGCCTCAGGTGGTTGGTATATAATACTCCAGATAGAAATGGAAGCCAAGGAGCTGCCTCCTGAGACTCCACCAAGATCTGTAACTGAATAATGTGTTTCCAGGACCCCCCTGGGAATTAAGCCTTGCCTCCCAAGAGGTATGCAGCAATAGTCACTACCAGCTCCACTGCACCAGAACTGTGACCTCTGCTAGGCCTTAAGGAAGCAAAAATGCTAAGAGAGTGATCCTATTTTCCAGGAGTGTAAATTAGAAAAGGCAACCATGTAAACAAATAAGAGCAAAATAAATAAATAAATAATAAAACCACAGTATGAGGCACAGTTGAAAGAAAGAGAGAAAGAAATCAGGAAGGACTATCTTAATTCTTACAGGGAAGGGAGGTTAAGAAGAATATTAGAGGGCAGAGGATAGCTCAGTGATAGAGTGATTGCCAAAGCCCTGGGTTTGATTCCTAACTCCAGAATTTAAAAAAAAATTATGTTTTAACTTCTTTCTGTTAATTATCTAATTATTAGAAAATAACATGTAGAATAATTATTCAGCACAAATTCACATGAATTAATAACTTTTTAAAATTTTATGTTTCTCAATCCGTATCTGAAGAATTCATTTTTTTACCCAAATTGGATTTATTCTTTTTGTTGTAGAAATCATACCCAGCAAGGCACCAGGTGCCACAGGGAGGGATGGAGAACTCAGGTTTATTGATGCCAGAAGACCCAAATGAGTTAGTACTCTGAAGTTCTGAGCTGAGGTTACACGGGGCGTTTATAGGAAATCTGACATTATTTCTTAACCATTACAACATTGGTGGGTTTGAATTCTTGGCTTCCATGGCCAAAGACTATGCACAGGGAATTTACGATAAGTAGTTCACAGGTGTAGAACAAAGACAGTAAAATATATGTGATGTTATTGAGAAGTGGCCTTCACCACAGGCCAGTAACTTCAGATGACTTGAGTTTACCTCCTTAAGAACTATAGTTCTAAGAACTAAGCCAACAAGGTTATAGTTAAGATAGCAGTTAATTGGCCTAGCAATTAAGTGATATAGATACATTTCTATGGAGTTCAGGAAGTTACAAAGTATAGGAAAATTAACCCTTTCCCCAGGCATTGGTTCTCATCATTATGTTCATATAACTCATTTTATAGTCAGATTTGGTGTCTCTGTCACATTTTAATTTTTCATAAAATTGTCTATAATTCACTATGAAGTTGCATTTTATGATTACTAAGTTTTAAAC